CCTCTATGAATTGTGGTCTGTTTAAATAATGTTTAGTGAGAATCTGAAGCTACATTTTGATCCTGGTTTGTTCTAATTACAGTACAAATCCCAACTCCAGAAATTCAGATTCAGATATTACAGGGAAAAGAAGCAGGCTAAAAATTTAAAGCTCCTCTTCCCTGGGTCTTTCCCTGGAAAGTATGCATAAACTTGAGGCCTGCTGCAGTGGAAAAAATGAGAAGCCATGATTTTCTACACACACATCTAAAATCCACAGCTAGCTGTCTACTATGGGATGAAGTACATACTATGGTATATACTTGGACAAGACATGAACTCAACTCATCTCAACTCTGCTGCCACAGCCAGCTATGTGAAGCTGGACTAAGGATCACCCTTGACCTCAATTTCTAACGCGTGTACAGCAGCGTACTTTATTCTAAAGCACAATGAAGGCTTCACTAATGCATATATACTGGGGAGGGGTGTGGGGGGAGGAGAAGGGAAGATAGTCTCTGGATCTGAATCCTTGTTGTGCATGTGGTTGTTCACTGAAGTGCTGGTCCACATGACTGAGTAATATCTAAGCACACAAAGGACCCCTACAAACAGAGACGCTGAAGCAATATAACCTCTTGACATTAGGGGATGAATTCAGACTCACACAGAGAAATGAGATGGCAGTAATTCAAGCCCTCTGAAAGAATCTGAATGTCTACACAATTAGGTCACACACAAGGAACTTGGGAGCCCTCAAACCACACTAACTGTTGTAAACACCCATCCATGTGCATTTGATCCAAAGAAAGAGCTAGCATTAAGGTTCATTAACCACTCCCAGTAGGGCTTGCAGTGGTTTTTAAAGACATTGAATGTGTACAGGCATAACCATAATCAAGAGCACATGATAGTTTAATGGAAGGTATTGCTTCCTCAGGACCAAAATGGGAGAGTCACTCAATCAGAATTTACAGAGAAGAGGAACATGTAACATTATAACCAAGAGCCTAAGCAGTGACAAGGAGCACCGCAGCAGGTCTTATGGCAACTTCACACACTTACACATCTGCATGAGAATGCCATAAAGTACCCTGCACCAAATGCATAAAGCATAGACATATACACAAATGTACATGTATCTTTCTATACCAGTACTGAGTGGTGTTTGCTCAAATGTGCACAAGTTAGGAAAAGGCCATAAGCATAAAGTAAAATGCCTCAAGAGCCACTGTGGAAAATGCAAATTTCATGGGCATTTAGAGAGCTACACTGTGTTTAGGTGGTCCTATGCTAATGTTCAAAGCCTCCAAGTGAAGGTGAGGGGTTGGTATGCTTCATTCTAAAGAATAATATAGATAGATTTGGCAAAATTAGAACCTGATGGAAAGGAGAGGACCAGTGGATGCGTTCATCTCCAACCATAACCTGCATAGGAAAGACAGGGAAGGGTTCACTAGGCATGTTGTGGCTTTATATGTCAAAGAGAGCATGGTGTTGAACAAACCACTAGACATTTTCTCCCACCACCATAACACTCAAACCCAGGTTCATCCCATAAAGCTGGCTGGTGGGAAGTTTAGGGCAGATAAAAGGAAATATTTCATTACAAAGCATACAGTTAAACTGTGGGATTCACTGCCATGGAAGTGGTGATGGCTGCCGATCCAGCTGGCTTTAAAAAGGGATGGGACAGATTTGTGAGGAAAGAGGCTGTCAATGGCTGCTAGCCTGGCAGGCTATGTGCTTACCCCCTTTACCGGAGGTGGCATGCCTGCAGGTGCCAGGTGTTGGGGAATTTGGCAGGAGGAGTTCTTGCACCCATCCTGCTTGAGGGATCCTGTGGGCGGCTGGTATGCCACCACATGTTTAGAGTGCTAGACTGAATGAACTTTTGGTTTGATCCAGCATGGCTTCTTTTGTTCTTATGAATTAGAACACTAAAAAGGGGCAGACTTCACAGAATGGGTGGCAAGAACCAGTCCTCAAAGTCATTTAGAACTATCATCCCCCTTACTAAAACACTCAGGATTATCTTGAGATGGAGAATTCACTCAGGGAAGCATCCAATTATCCTCAAGCAAACTGGGTAAATAATGTTCCAATAGTTACAGAGTTAATAATCCTACTTATCCTTAATGGCTGCAGTTGGTCACAGAACTGTGTGAAAGGAAGCAGCTCTGGACTTAGTTCTAAATACTGCCCAGGATCTAGTGCAACATGTAAGCAGAAAACTGGAAATAGTTAAAGCGATGCTATCAATTTTCATTGATAGTAACTGAAAAATTGCCATGAAGTCCAACACTATCACATTGGACTTCAATGGATCAACAACACAAAAATTAGGGAATGTGTAAAAAAGGATGTCAAGTGAACTAAAGAAGGATAAAGACATTTCTAAGAAGTTGAATGAATTATTTGTATCTGTATTCACTGCAGAAGATGTAGGGCACACACCTACAGCTGAGCTTACACATTTAGGAAAGGAGTTGGGGAACTGAGGCAAACAGTGATGCTAAATGATTAAGTTCTAGATCTGCATTTTACTGACAAACTATTTGTAAATAAAGAAATAATTGAATCAGGACTCTGAATCTGTAGCCATTCAAAAGTTTGTAAGAAACTCAAATGCAAAACTGCAGATGTTCCAACAAAATATGTAACGTGTCTCTAAGATAGTTCTCTGCATCAGAGGACTGGAAAGTTGCTAATATAATACCAATTTTTAAGATGGGTTCCAGAAGGAGCTCAAAAAATTACAGGACATGTAGGTTCCAGATAAACATGTTCCAGATAAACTGGTAGTAAGGATGAATAAAAATAACATTATCAAGGGTGAGTTTTGCTGAAGAGCATTGATCAACATGGCTTTTGTAAAAGTAATTCTTGTCTCACCATAACCTTTTAGGGTTCTTTGAGAGAGTTCAGAAGCATATGGCTATGGGTGATCCAACAGACATTTTTATTGGGACTTTTAAAAAGCCCTTTGGCAATGCTCCTCTCCAAAGACGTTTGAGTGCACTTAAGAGGAAAGGTTCTCTTATGGATTAGTAATTGATTAAGTAACAGAACCTAGGAATTATCCGCTCTCACAAGGGGGAGAGGGATACAAACAATGAATTTCTCCGAGGACTACCAACAATCAAAATTATGACTACCAAAATTATGGAAATACAAAATAGCATGAGTAACTTGTACTTTTCCTCCTCCTTTCTGCAGCAGATTCTTCATTGCCCTAATGTTTCTTTACTTAGAAAAAAATTAACTCATGAGATAAGTAATTACATCTCCTACACTTTGATCACCATTAATCAGCTATTCTGCTCTGTCTAGCTGACTAGTACTGTCAAGGCTGATCAAAGCCTCTCTTCTCATGGGGCTGATGGCTGTCACCACTTACAGGGTTAACAGCTGATCAGCACCATGAGCCCCAAATTCCTGTTAATCAGATGCCCAGAAGACCGACAGAAATGAATGTCCCCAAATCCTTGCACTTTAATGAGGATTATTATGCTGAATACAACACTCATTCTTATACCAGACGCCTGCAAGAAGGGAAGCACTAATTGCTACAGTGGAGAGGCTCTGTGTATATGGAATGTTTCCAAATATATTAAGGGGGGGGGTGATGGTAACATGCAGCTTTCTCTGATTTCCAATGGAAAGGGGGCTTCTGAATGCCTTCTTTGCCTTTGCTCATCAGTAAGAATGGTGTTTTCTAAAGTAATTGACAAGTGCACAGTTCTAGGACTAGTACCTGAGAAGTAGCAAGCAGTGCAGGATTCAGCTTTCATGCCACCGCCCAGCTCAGAAGAAAGGACAGTACTGTACCAACTAAACAAGCTAGTCCAGAAAACCACCTTGTACTAGAAGGGATCAAGCACCACTCCTTGGCCACTAGAATGGTTTTCACACCAGACTTGTTTGCTGGTCTGAGCCACTAGGAGGCCCAAGCACCTGCCTGGGCAGCAGACTGCCTTCACATCATTTCTTCTTTGTCTTTGCCTTGTTCTCTCCTCAGTTTCATGGGAGCCAGGATGGACAAAATGCCTTTCTCATTTTATTTCTTGGCTCAGTGGCAGTTTATACACATAGTGATTTCATAACCTATAAAGCAATAGGGATGCGAAAGCAGCAGGACAGCTTCTCCATATCAAACCAAGCTTGTCATTACGCTGATAAGAAATGACAGAGTTACGTTTTCTTTACTTGAACGGGAAGTGCCCCAATTACTCGTGAGCCACAGTATACTTAGCACAAGCACAAATACAGGGGGTATGTTGAACTGGTTTTACACAGCCCTTCATTTCACGCATGCTACAGCCTGAGAAAGAGAAACATGGTCTTGTTAATATTTGATAGCCAAACCACTGAGATCAGCAGCAGGGCCATCAGATTGCTTTGTTCACCAGAGATCTTGGCACGTAAGGAACACCACAAGCTACTCTCCTGATGAACAGGAATCTCCATATAGTCATGTCCTGCCGACCACTGTATCAGTAGCTATGGTTAAGTTTTGAAAATATGAACATCCATTTACAAATGTGCCTGGAATCCCAATCTGCTACCTGAAAGCTCTGCCGATGAATCCAATATACTCTGGTGAAGACGGAAATATGAAAAAAACAACTCTGCATACTTGGGGCACTTTCTTCTTTACTACTCCTTCAAAAGTACTAGGGCTCAGTCTTACATTCAAAAGAAGCTCAGCACTTTCCAATAGTACATCACAACCATGTCAGCATCAGTGTAAATTTCAACTGGAAAAAAACTATGGATGAAGAGGACATAACAAAGCATACACAAATATTTTTTCATTTCAGAAATTCATGGAAAGTAAACAGCTTTCATCTCTCTTTAAAGCAATGACTACATATAATGTTGGGATAATAAAGGTTTTCAGAATTTTTTAAAAAAGAAATTTTCTACCTATGGCTCAAGTGTGATAGAGCAGCAGCTTAAAATGTTGTAAATTCAAGTTCTCAGTCAAAAAGTTAAGCAGATGCAGGTTGATCTCTAACCTGGAGGCGTGCAGGCATCAGCAGGAGACTGTACAAATGTGGACCGTCTTTTTGTTGGCATGGGCAGGGCCATCTTCTGTTCCTTGTGTTTTGCCAGTGCTGCTTGCACTGCCTCTGTGTGGATATCTAGGAAATAGGAATGGAAATTAGCAAATACATCAGAATTCTTCATGATATGAGGAAAAAATCCTAACTATATGTCCCAAACTGAACTATTCCTCTGTAGCTGTGTAAAAAAAAATGTTGCCCTGGAGCTGCTTAGCAAGGCTGAGCATATTTGCAAATGTCACAAAATGGACCAGAACTGTGCTATCCAGCTCTGATCTGCCTTTTTCTAATGCACCCTTCTTGTGAAGTGCTATCCTTCTTATCTTTAGGTTGCAGCTCTGGAAACAAGACTCACTGCATGTAACATGGAGAATCCTTAACCAGTGATCTGGGGTGAAACTTTTTTCTAGAACAGACTTTTTTCTCTGCTACTATGTTTTCTAACAGAAACTTTCTGAAAATACACTGCTCCATAAACGTAATGGATTGAGTCCAAAGTTCCTTCTTTCATCTCCCTGGATCCTTTGAAAAGCTTCCACAGAGAGCTGGAGAAACCCTGTAATGACATAAAGGTGGCACTAGGGACTGAAGTGGAGTTGGCAAAAACTGCCTCGACCCCATGCCTTCAGTGAGAGCCTCCATTGTATCTCAGCCTCTTCCATGTATGGAAGGAACTCCTCTGTTCACAGCATTCACTCTGGATACAAACCTTTACTAATACAATGAATAAAATAATACCAGTGAAACACAAGCATTTTTCAAGATATAATTAACATTTTTCAGGTAAATATCCTGAGGATGTCTGTCCATCCATCTCTCTCATACACACACACACACACACACACAGGGGATAAGTTATGGTAATAAAATATAGTATATTCAGAAAATAATTGGAAATTTATTGAGTTTACTTTCAAATAAACTCTTTTATCTTTTTAAAAGAGTTTTACTTTTTAATGATACTATTATGAGCAAGGCAATGCATAATATATTTTGTGTTCCAAACATAACGAAGTGACTTCAAAACTATAAGGAGCACTAAATGGGTGTGTGAGTATCCAATGAGTGATATCCAATGTTAGTCTAATCTAAGTTCCATGTACTTCTGTCTACACAGGACTGACCTTGGAATAACTAAAAGTATTACTTTTTAAAAAGCTTTTTTCCTCATTATTTATTTTCCCTCTAAACCACCTCTTTACATGATGAGATGCAACACCATAACTGACAGTTGCAGGAAGGCATACCTACAGGTATCCTCTAACAGAAAAAGGAAAAAAAGTTTAAATCATGGGTGGACAGAAGGTGCATCTCTACATATTTTGGATTTCAACTCCCAGAAACTCTTGCCGCCATGGCCAATGATAAAAAAAAAAAAGCTGGAAGTTGAATTCCAAGACATCTCAAAATCTACTTTCTGTCTGCCCCTGGTTTGCATATCCTCCTGTATCTGCATTCTGAAATGTAAGAGGCCTCAAAATATGGTTTAACACTTTCTTCCAATAGGTAGACTGATCTTAAATCCCATACTCAGACAGAAGGTATGTCAATACAAATGTAGGTACCCCTCGTTACCAGTCTCAAAATATCAAATAAACAATAATTTAGAGCTTCTGTACCCTACCTAACAGCATAGTAATTTTACTGCTCAAAGAGCAGGAGAAAGAAGTGCAGCAATTTGCACAAACCTAAAAAAGCAAACATGGCTGATGAGTCATATAAACCCAAAACCTCAAGTCATCTCCAGTGCTGATCACCAGGTTGTATCCTTCTCTCCCTCCCTTTCTTTCCCTTTTTGAATAAATTTGTATCAGTGTCTGGCAGATTTCCTCCCAGGATGTGTTAGAAAAAGTCTACTGAGGACAGATTTGACTAATACCATTTGAAGAGAACTTATCCTTTGGGTCCCAGAGGCCCAAAACAGCTTTGTGAGTTTTGCCAGCAGGCTGCACACATTTGAAAAGTGTGCTCCGGAAGGGCCATTTCAGCAAGCTGACAGGGAGCAGGGGGATTAGCCTGCAGGAGGTCAGGCAAAAATAACACAGTTCATGCTGAAAGTGCCACCTACTGATCATGACTCATCTGGACATGGACAATAGTTCAATGCTACAAATGAAACAGACTCAACATGATTCATACATCTCAAGGATCACTTTTTTCTTAAGAACAGTAAGAGGGAATGTATGGTGGCAGAAGAACATCTTACAGAGAAAGCTGAAAAAACATTTATATGTTGAATGTTTAAGTACATTACAGCTTGAAAATGAATTTTCCTGTGGTTCACACTAGTTGGTGGCTTGGTATCTCCTATTCCAAACTGGAGATGAAAGTAGATAATAAAATAATAAAATATTACATTGACCAGTGCTGACTATGTGCCAGAAGGATGGACCAAGTACAATACTAAAAGCCACCTAGAAGCACAAAATGGAGTCACATGAAGCAAAAGGCTAAGAAATGCTCTCCAGTCCCCAGTTTCAAATACATTCACCAGTCAGATCCTGAACACGGTCAGAAACTACCCAGGCTTTCCCAAGCAAAATCTGAGTGCTACTCTACATCATCCAATACCTTGTTCCTTGTTGTACGGCTCTAGAACTGAGGGAGGCCAGAAGTGGCTGGTGCACGGTTGCTACTAAATAAAACTTTAAGCAGTACTAGAGTTGCTGTGAATAAAACATGCATATATCACTCTGTTTATAGTGCATTGGAGATACTTTCAAAAGATACCCAACAGAATATGTAACAAGAGCCAAGAGGCTATAGGGGTCTCCTCCTCATGATGCTCAAAAAACAGCAACGGCCTTTGGATCAGGATATCCCTGGTTTTCTTTAAGCTCTGCTACTGACACAAAGGTTAACTTAGTCAATACTGAACTTCATTGCATATTTTTCAAAAAGGAAAATCCCCCAGCTTAAGTGTATCACTTGCAGGACCACAAAGGTGAGTTGTATTTGACTGGGTTCACATTACACAGAAACCCAATCTGAGTAATTAGCCACGGAGGGTTGCCATGTCATGTAAGCCTGGAATGCTTCCCACAGGATGGCTTGTTTTTCCTGAAAAAGCCATCCTGAAAACTCTGGCTTATTGCAGGAACTTGTTGATCCTCAATGGGTTGGCATCTCATCTGAACCTAGCACACCAATCCCATCTTGAATCCAGGGAAGCTGCAAACTGCTGGGCAGAAGAGACAAAACCCCCTTCTTGCTTTTGCCAAGCTTGCCTGGGCAGTGTTTAGACAATGCTAAGCATGACTGGGGGAAGGGTTGACAAAGACATATACAAATTTCATGACCACATATGTCCTTGTCAATCCTGCTCACTTAACTTTGTCAAAAGACCAAACCAAACCAAACCAAACGCTGTTTTAATAGACCCACTGACTTTTGACAGCTGCCACTATTAAGTACAGTAAAACCTTGGATTGTGAGCATATCCAACGTTTTGTTCTGGAAACATGCTTGTAATCCAAAGCACTCGCATATCAAAGCAAATTTCCCCATAAAGTTCAATGGAAATAAGGTTAATCCATTCTGTAACTTTTTTTAATCACAAAAATTTGAAGCAGGCACTCTTGGGGGGAGGTGGGCGTGACTGTGGACGCGCTTGGGGAGAGACGGGCACGACTGCAGGCATGCTGGGCACGATTGTGGGTGTGCTCAAGGAGGAGGCAGGCTCGATCGTGGGTGCGCTCAGGGGGAGGTGGGTGTGCTTGGGGCACGCTGGGGGGCAGGCGGGTGCACTCGGGGGGGGGCGGGCACAATCGCAGGGGCCCTGTGGGGGAGACAGGGGCAAGCGGGGCATGCTGGGGGGGGGGGTGGGTGGGATGGGGGGGGGGAGATGATGCTGTACTCGCACCCGCAGCGAGAGAGAAAAGAACCGGCACTCAGTTGTGACGTGATGCTTAGCAGGGAAAGCGTACATAATACTTGTACTGCAAGACATCGCTCGTTTATCAAAATTTAGAAAAACCTTTTGCTCATCTTGCAAAACACTTGCAGACCAAGTTACTCACAATCCAAGGTTTTACTGTACTCCTGTAAGTTAGGTAAGCTGCTCTTTTCCACTTTCCTGAGTAACTGGCGGCTCAAGAAACAATGGAAAAGGTGGAGGTATTGGAAAAGGTGGAGCACCAAGGATGAATGTAAACTTAAAACATGGGGGATATCAGTGAAAGAGGGTAATATCACCACTATCCATTCCACAGGCAAATATTTTGTTTGAAACTGTCAAGCAAAAGCAAAAAAAAGGTATTTGAATCCTGACTTTGTCAATGTCCATGGATGGTGCATATTTCAACAGCAGACACTTACCAGGACACTGACCAACCAAAGCTTTGTATTTAGGGTAGCTGGAGTTGCAGACTTGCACAGCTCCAAGCTACCAACATAACTAACTAAACACAAAGAGAGATGGATGTATAAATAAATAAATGCACGTTTCTGGTACAAAAAATTAAAAATAAGTGCCAAACTGCTGAGAGCTGCTTGGAACTTTTGAAGGGCAAAGACATGGCAACCACAAAGGGGGTCACAATTAGAGGGAGGTAAGGAGACAAGACAGGTTATGCTGGACAGGTTCTTGGGATACCTGTGGGAGCACCAAGGATGAATGAGAGGGGGACAACCCACAGTAAATACAGCCATCTCATAAGCACACAATGGGTTGTTCCATTAACTACCCACACTATCTAGCTTATTCACAGGGCTGTGCAAATACATCCTGTGCCACTCCTCAATACCTGTAATTAGTTACAAGGCAGGATGCAAACCACAGTCTTTCCCAAATCAGGAAAAATTAATTTATGTTTAGTAGTTGAGTTTACAGCATTCTTACCAGACCGATAGCGTTCATCCCTGGCTCCCCCAGAGCGTGCCCGGTGATACTTCGATGAAGATGGTGCTGGTGCTGCAGATGGAGCAGGTGTCTGGTTTCGGGGCTCCTTCTGCACTCCTAGGTCGATCCCTGTAGAAACAGTTTAAGAAAAGGACAAATGGTCAGTGTTAGCCATCTCTACTACTATGAATTATTAGCTGTGCAGCAAGACGATGAGGCCTTTGTATAAAAATAAAAAACTGAAAACTGATGAAATTCTTCAAGAAAAGCCTTCGACGAGTACAGAAAAATGTGGGATTTTTCCTTTAGTAAGGCTTTATTAGAGCAGGCTACACGTATGTCAACAAAAGATGCTTTGAAAATTAGAGAAAGAACACAATCCCTATAGTCTGCATGCCTATGTCCCTGTATATATGTATGTACAGAGCAGCCTTACAATATAAAATATTTATTCAACCCAGTATCAGTCTAATGCTTAAAAATTATTGCCAGAATCAAGGAACATACAATAGTTTTCAGACAGCTACTGTTAAGAAAGAGTGAGCAGTTTCTTTGCAAAAATACTTGCAGCCTGCTTCAATTTACTCCTGCGTGAGTATTTCTTTAAAAAATTTAATACCACAGCCTGCCTGCCTGCCTGCCTGCCTTTATTTATTTATTTATTTATAACATTTTTATGCCGCCCCATCGCAACAAAGCCTCGGGGCGGCTTACAAACAAAACCAAAGTTACAACAATAAAAATATTGTTTAAAAATATTAAAACCCCGGTGCCCACCTTCACAGGGAAACTTGTGTCAGGATCTAGGCTGCTTCACCTAATGGTCTACTACCTAGAAACACCACCTCGCCTGCCCTAGTATTTGCAGGATCAGTCCTAAGCTCTGCTAGAGCTCTCAGCCTCCTGATGAGTGCCTGTTGGGAGCCCTGGGGGAAGAGCTGTAGAAAAGTTCCTCCTTCTAGAACACAAGGCTGTGTTTGCTGTTGTGCCTGCATCTTGCCTGACCTTTGCAGTGTATCCTGCCCTGCTCCTGGCAGGTTCCCTGAGATTCCTGCCTCAAGGAACCTGCAACTCTGTTTATTTTCCTGTTCTTGATTCTTGGCTTTTAATGACTATGTCCTTATTCTGTCCTGCAACATACTTCTGGTTCCTAACCCTGGCCTGCTCTGTGACTATGACCTGGACTTGCTATTGAGCCTTCTTGCTTTTGAACTTTGGACCCTGCCTTGCCTCAAGTTCTGTTGCCCTGGTTCCCAGTGCCTCTGTCTTGCCCCCTGCTCCCCATGACCTGGCCCCTGACAGCTTACCATAACCAGTGCCCATTAAAACACCAACACAATTAAATATAAAACCCCAGCAGATAAAATTGTTATAGAACAAACTCTAAAATCATTCAAAAGCTGACAGACAGAAATGAAAAAATATGTGGGGTTCTCCAAAGGACTAATAGAAAGAGAGTCATCCTTATCTTCCTGGGTTCTTGGGTCATCATGGCAAAGGCCCTGTCCTTGGTTCTAACCGATTTAAGAGTGCTGCTTGAAGAAACAGAGATTGGGGCTCCGGAAGCCCATTGGATGACTCAGGCACATTGATACAAGAGCAGGTGCTCCTTCAGATGAACTAGTTTACAGCTTTAAAAGTTGAAGCCAGCACCTTAAATTGGGTCAACTCAGGCTATTCATGTTCTGAGCGGAATGGGTGTAATGGAAAAACAGATTTTAGGAGCAAAACGTACCCAGGGAACATCTGCTCTGCCAGTTACTTCTAACTCTCATCTTTAAAAAAGGGTTTGAATCAAATAAAAATCTGATCAGAGTACATGCAATCTAATTCCTGACAGTCTTCAACCTAAGTCCTGCAAGTCTTGAAAGGATAATAAAGCATTCAAGCCCAAGAAAGCAAATTACAAAAACCACAGTGGAATAGCCTTGTTTAGATGTGGGAAGGGAAATGAGTTCTTCTAAAAGTCAGTGACCTTTTTTAGTGAGCAATTAGGAACTGCTATTTATAAGAAGCAGGTCATATGTAAAACCAAACAATGGAGGAATGATTCTGTTGGTGATTTAAAATGATTATTTCAATTGCTTTGATTTAAGTCAATCCACCCAGGCTCTGTTTTGGCTCAGCCAGCCAAGGTGGCTGAATCAATTGCCTTCAGACTATCCCTGAGATATATTTGTATTATTAGCATAATTCATTTTGCCATTTTTCTATTCTGCATAAAGTATTTTACTTCAGCTAGCTATTGGAAGGGACAAGATGCTTGAGGTCTGATGCTGAGAAAGCATTCTTGAATGAAGGGGCCATTTTGGCAGTCATTGCCCAAGAATTTCAAGGTTTTCTTCACAACCATAAGTAATGGAACCTTGCTTTGTTTTGCAAATGAAAGCTCAACATTTTCATTAAGGTGAACGCTATGCATATTGTCAGATTATGTTCTCCAACTGGTTTGCACAGAACTGAGGCACATACCCAGCCCTACCTACAATTCACTCTCCACCAGGATGCAGCCTTCATGTTAAACATACACTACTCTCCCTCTAATGTAGTGCTCACATAATTACTTATGGCCCATCAATCCATGAATCCAGTACTGTTAATTATAGTTTTCTTCTACTGCCATTTTAGTTGCTAATTAGTATTCACATTGGGTAACAGTTCAGTGCAGCATGAAAAGAAGAGAAATTATAAGAAGAGCTCAAACTGCTTTTTGTATGTAAATAATATGGTTCTAAATTTAGCTGGAAATCCCCAAAGAATGGACTGCATGTATTTGCAGCATAGCAATATCAGTGCTGCACGTGGGTGGGAAATGCTCACCACTGAGCAATGGGGAAATTATAGGGGCTAGCAAAGTTTGGGTGATCAGACAAGCTTGAGATTTTCCTATTTCCTATAGAGTGTTCTAGTCATTACAACAGGATGAATGTAATGTGATTAAGAGACAATGGAGTGTTGTGGCAGCAAAAGGGCAAGACAACAAAAGATGCTGAACTTTCCCTACTGTCCAGTCAAATGAGATGTCCCAGAATTGCTGGGAAAAAAACCAATGCAGATGCCATAGATATAGGCTTCTACCTTGACAAGACTGACCCGAAAATTCCAGGAATTCTCATAGTCTGAGAACTTGCAATAATTCTGCTTTGCAAAAGGCAGTCTGTCCTGATTTTTCATGCCCATCCACTCTGTTCATTAATGCATAAATACACAGATCTTTCACACAGACGATGCCTACCATATACTAACCCTTTGAAGGAAAAAAATGTCTTGAAAAAATGGCTTCAACTTCCCATACAAAGGGTGTCAAAACAATATAGACAAATTCAGACTTCTATAGCTTTAGGTATATTATTCTGTCATTTCTTCCACTGTTCTTAAAAAGTGTTTCTTATCAGTTTTAATAAAATTCCCTCCTTACCAAAAATAGCTAGGGATACACACATGCTGTCCTGATTCCAGAGAAACTTCCAAAAGAACTCAAATACTTTGTTACACAATGGGTCAAGTTTTACGCACAACACAACAGACTTTCCAGAAAAAACCACAGAATTCCATATCCATATGGAAACATGCACCACAATGATCACATGTTGCTTTGCAATGGGTTCCAGAAAGTTAGAAACACATTCAGCACTACCGGAATGATTTACTTGTACCTACAGCTTCACGTTCAGTGACAGATAATTTTGTCTCAAGCCCGGGAATGGCCAGCAACATGAAAATGCTCCTCAATTAAACCAAATGAAGCATGGGGGTGGGATTCTGAGGAAACGGGAGCACCACTGCCCAGCCCATTCTCCCCTGCCCACTCACCCATGATTGGCCTGGCTCCTGCTGCAACATCTCTGGGGCAGTTGGGAAGAATAGCCAAGAGACCTCTGCCATCTGCACACTCTGGGAAGCTGCAGGCCAAGCAGCCCCTTGTTCTGGGCTTTCCACTAAAGTGGGTTGGGCTGTGCTGTCCTGGTTCAGGCAACACAACTAGCAACCATAGCAGAGAGGATCCCTAGACAACCATAATAAGCCACAATGGTCAATTGCTATGACTGGGTTTGCATGATACGACAAGCAACCATGCTTTTTTTATTATTCGCTGCTGTGAGAACCCAGTCGCTGCTGCACTGCCATGGCCTGCCTATGAGGCAGAATATATCGAAACCTACTTTTCTTTTAATAAAAACACTTCAAGCTATGCATCTACAGACCCCAGTGCCCCAATTTTTAATAAAGTACCTAATTAGACTTCATGATTACAGCTATGCAAACTGCTGGTGCCCAAAAGAAATCCTCTCTATCTACAAGAAACTTTGCAGCCTGCTTCAAATGGCATAGGCATGAGATTGACGGCACCACAGACCAACTTTTGAAATGAATAAATATAAAAATATAAATCATTCCCCTTAATACGCAGACAGGCATTATATGTCACTCTTCAGGTAATAGGTTGAGATTGCTTAAAGGTTCTTAAATTAAACATGCTTTGTAACTATTGCTAATAGGTAAGAGAAACTTCCCCAGTAGCTTTATCTTCAGACCAGTTTTTTCTCCAGCCCAACAGATTCCTCACAAACAAAAACAGATTTTATACAGTTTTCCGCTGCCTCCAGCTCTTCCTGCTTCTTTTAAATGTAAGGATGATTCCTATACAGGTTCCTGCCCACTACATGAACACTTAGTTTTAGAAGCTTTTCTCAGTCTAGGCTTTGCACTGGAATAAAAGCTCGTGTGTGATGTGCAGACATCACAAAAAACAGGACATAAATTTTTCTCCCAGCATGGCCTCAAAATTTCTGAAAATCTGTTTGTTTCTCCATGGCATAGAGAACCCTGTGGACATTACAATACATAGGAATGAGCAACAGTCTTCTACCATGACCTTCGAGAATTTGCCACCAAGTAAAAATGGATCCACTCAAGTCCAGGGTTCCCAGTTCCCTACTCAGAGCAACATCATGGTCCATGGTATCAAAGGCCACTAAGAGGTCCAGAAAAATAAATAAGGTCATCTGTTTGTCTGCCTGTCTGTTCATTTCTTGTGTGCATGTGCACACACAGACCTTTTTAATACTGACAGTGAAAATAAACACTACTGCTCATTAAATAACGCAATGTAGCCGATGTAAAGATGA